CATTCTATAGTTGTTGTCTGTTCTTGTTGGATCTCAGTCCACAGAACTCCCTTTAGGATGTTTTTCATAGCAGGGTTGGCTTTGGCAAAATCCCTTAGCTTCTGTTTATCCTGGAATGTTTTGATGATAAACAGTTCAGGGCCGGCTGTGGCTGTTTGGTATTAAGTGGAACTTTGTCTTTAAATTTCGAGGAGATCTGTGCGCATGTGTAGTAGAACCCTCCGAGGGTGGGGCTGTGGTGTCCACTAGAATGGAGGTGCACAGACAACAAGGGACCATTGAACAGATATCAAAAGGAAAGAATGTCCACACCTTTATCTCCGCGGTTCTGTCTGTTGTCTGTGGCTACTCTGATCCTTCCCCCGCTTGGTTTCACTCAAGTTGGCAGCTCCTGGAGCAGCTGAGCATCTTGAATTAGAAAGCAATGGTTTTCTTGCTTCTGCTACAAATTCCCCTAGCTGTAAGCCTTTCAACCTTCTAAATATTCCTTTATATGCGGTTCAGAGTTCTGAGACCATCCCTTCAGCCTGCTTGGTCCTGTATTCTGTGTTGTTGCTGACGGAGCTCCTTAATGCATGTCCACCCGATCCGCCATCTTGTTTGTTCTCCCTCCCATGAACTTTTTGAAGCCCCCCCCCACTTAGATCCCACTGTATGTGGACATTTTTTGTTGAGCCATTCATCTACTGATGGACACTTGGATTATTTCCACCTTTTGGCTACTGTGAATAGTTCTGTAATGAATATTGGGGTGCAAGTCACTGTTTGCTGTCTTGCTTTCAGTTTTTTAGAGGATGTGCTTAGAAATCATGATAGGCAACACTGTCAGTGATAGGATCGAATACCCATAGACCTACAAAGACCGGTCAACACAACTGTTATTCAGATTTATACTTCATCCACTAATGCCAATGATGAGGTCACTGAAGATTTTTGCCAATTCCTGCAGTCTGAAATTGAAACATGCAATCAAGATGCACTGATAATTATCTGGTGACTGGAATATGTATGTTTGAACCAAAGAAGGAAGGACTGGTAGTTGGAAAATATGGCCTTGATGATAGAAACTATGAGGGAAATTGCATAATAGACATTTACAAGACCAACAACTTCTTAATTTCAATTACTTTTTTTTTCAACAACATAAATGGTGAGTTTACACGTGGCCCTCAACAGCTGTAATAAACAGGAATCAAACAGACTACATTTGTGGAAAGAGAAGCGCAATATTTGCAATGAAAACAAGGCTGGGGGCCAACTGCAGAACAGACCATCAGTTGCATATATGCACGTGAAGTAGAAGCTGAAGAAAATTAAAACAATTCCATGAGAACCCAAATACAACCGTGAGCAAGCATATTTGACCTGAATTTAGAAACCATATGAACAGATTTGAACACTAATGACCAGAAGAGTTGTGGGATGACATCATAAACATCTTATATGATGAAGCAAAAGGTCATTAGTAAGACCAGAAAAAAAAAGA